CTCTGGTCAGATGGAGATCAATGTGTTGGGCTCAGATAGTCCTGGCCTGAATTTCATATCATAGGAAATCTGAACTGGTAGTTTGTAGTCTGATTTCTGAGCAAATACAGTTAACACAGAAGTTTTTTGATTACTGGAAGGCGACACAGTTTACAGTCATTTGACATTTTAGTGGTACTGCACAGCGTCTTACTCACTGCTGTTGTAGATACTACAATACTATATTGCAGGTACTGACAGAAACAGTGAAATTAAGACCCAGTTTGAATACCAGCTCAGAGGAACTCTCTCTGTGCCGGTTCTCTTCTGTGCAGAGCTTGAACGTGAATGTTGCAAGACAAACACCATACCAAGTGTGTGTACCTATAGCAGCAGATACAGGTCAGATACTCCTGTGGTGTGTAGAGGTCGGGGGCGTGGCCACAGAGAGGGCAGGGCAGGGCTGGGTCACATGACTCACACAGAAACGGGTGATTGGCCCACAGGCCCGATGACCTCACGCCACAGCGGCGGCAGACTCTACAGTTCTAGAGAAGAGAAGGTCGGTCAGGTTCGTCCAGAGTTCAACACCATGAGTGTGTTTGTGTGCTTATCTCACCTTGCAGCTCCAGCCGGTGCTCGGTGTGGGATCCAGAGGCGGCGTCAGACAGTGTGTGTGGTAGGATTTATCACAGCGCTCACACACCAGCAGCACACCCTCATCCCCTCGCAACCTGACACAAACACAGGGCAGGAAGGTCTTACTATTTATTCTTACTATCTATTGAATTTCCCTTCTGGGATAAATAAAGTATTTTTCATTTCTTACACCGACAGGCTGTCCAGCATCATCACGTCCACCAGAAAGCTCGGTTCTAGTCTGAGGTGAATAAAGCTGAGTAGCATTATCAGTAGCGATCTACTGATCATCAGCCTGTTTGTTACCACCTGATTATTGGGGCCAATATCTGGCATTTTTCAGATTATCAGCATCATTGTTTTTATTAACTGATTTTCGCTAAATCAAACGTACTACGTAGGCTCTAATGCAGCTGACTATCTGTAGTCACTGGAAGCTACGCTGGACAGACAGACAGACAGACAGACCAACATTTGCAGAGTGTCGCTGTGTTTGACAGTGAGGCAGCAGATGTTGCTGAAGCTGTGATAAACACTACAATCTTCAACAGATGCTCAGTTTTACCTGAAAACGCCTGAATAATTCCCCTGCTGGAACTAATTCTGCTGACAGTGCCAGGCTGTTGCTAACCCGAAGAAGTAAGCTGTGCCTCTTAGCTTGTAGCTAACGCTATCTGGTACACATTTTTGTAAAGTCAGAGGGCTAAACTATAAAGCAAGATCAGTGAGTCAGCAGGTATGTTGAGTCTAAAGTCAGATATCACTGTCATAAAAGCGTCTCTCTTTAAACCTGCTAGGTCTCCATGGTAACTGATGCTGTGAAGCTAAGTCTCCATGGTAACTGATGCTAACCTGGTCCAGGTTGTGCTCAGCGTCTCCCTTTAACCAAACTGTTTCCTGATGATAGCGTTTTCTCTGTAAACCTGCTGATCTGTACGCTACTGAAACACTGAATGAAGCAGTTACAGCATCACACACTGGAGGCATCCTGTTGCCATGGAAACCTGCACATGTTCAGCTGCTGATGCAGAGATCACATCAACATGTTTCTGTGTTTGGTCCGTTTACTCTGCTGGTCCTGAAGCTGATAGATCCCTGATTAGAACTTTGATTATCTATCAATAACAACTGATATCGACTGATGCGACACATTACGTTGCAATAACATCTTTAGCAGTTCTGTTGTCTCTTTGTTGTCATTTCGTGTCTCGTGCTTCCTGTTTTCTGTCTCGGTAAAGTCGTTTTGTGCCTCGTTCGTGTGGTTCTGGGTATATTTAGGACACTTTAGTCTCCTTTTTGTCATATTGTCTCGCCTTTCTCACTTCCTGTCTTGTCATTGTCACTCTCCACATCATTTTGGTAGTTTTTATATCTGCCTTTTGGACAGCGTCGCCTCCCGTTTGTCTTTTTGTGTCTCGTTTTCGTTAGTTTGTGTCTCACCTACATGGTTTTGTGTCTCTTTGTGGTCGTTTCGTCTCCACCTGCTGTAGCTCCTGATCTGTTCCCATTTTTCCCATATCTGTGATACGCTGACCTGAATCTGTCCTGTACACCTTTACTGTACCGATCACTCACCTTTCCTCTCGATTCTTGTATTTGTCAGCATTTACAATAAAGAGCTGATCACAAAACCCAACAGATGACAAAGAGAAGGTTGCAAGCTGTGTGTCCCCAGATGAACCCTGCTGTCACGTAACTGTCCACATATGAAACACCCAGCGGGGCGTTCGTGGGTTTTCCTTTTGATCGACACTTCCTGTAACACGTTCGTTACCTGCAGCTCTGACACACTCGACACTGAGGACACTGCCATCCGGGCCGGCACAGGGGGGAGGGGGCCAGGGGGGGGTCGAGGCAGCCGCCATGGTAACAGTTGCCACAGCAACAGCACATCAACAGACCGCTGACCTCACCGCCGCCAGAACACGACACACACCGCAAGGACCCTGGAGAGACAAAAGGTATCCCAACAGGTGAAAACACGAGCAACGGAAACCACCGCATCCACGTAAGGATGGAGACGACCAGCAGGGGGAGCCGATCGCCTCAAGCTGCCGCCTCTCAGTCTGAACAGTGGCCACATGAAACCGCATGTGGGCGGGGCTCCAGGGGAAAGCAGGTGGAAGAGGATTCTGGTGTTTCATGGGTTCAAGTGTCTGTCAGCGCCGTCGCATCTTAAACTGCAGCATACAGCGCGTAGCCGAGTGTGCGTAGCCGAG